TGTGGATGTAGTTGCCTAACATTCAAGATGCTTGATTTCAATTCCCAGCACAACATATCAGTTCTAGGTGTGCCTAGAACTCCAACACAGAGGAGGTGGAGAGAAGAATGAGGTGTTCAAGGTCATCCTACACTACTTGGGAATCTAAAGCCAACCTGGGCGCTGTGTGTGTGTGTGTGTGTGTGTGTGTGTGTGTGTGTGTGTGGTTAGTATGTATGCCAGGCATGGTGGTCTACAACTTTAATCCCATCGATGGGAAGGCAAACACAGGTAGATCTCTGGGAGTTCAAGACTAGCCTGTTCTACACAGCCAGTTCCAGGACAGCCAAACCTACATAATAGAGAGACCTGACTCAAAATAAATAAATAGATAACAATGTTTTACTATTGTGATCCCTTTTTTGTGATATAGTAATACACCTACAGTCACAGAAGGTCTAAATGGATAGATGTCCAGATGTTAAACCAGTGTTCTTGAGAAATGAAATTATAAGCGCCATTTTTTGTCTTCTTTTTAGCATTTTATTAAAGTTTCCTCAGCAAAATATTAATTGTAAAAATTGGCAAGCTTTAGTTAGTTGGAAGTTAGTCTTAGGTACATAGTGAGACTCTTAGTCTCAAAAAAAAAAAATTAGGGGGGCTTGGAGAGATGGCTCAGTGGTTAAGAACTAGTTGTTCTTCCAGAAGTCAGAATTCTATTCTAGGCACCAACAAGGCAGTGGTTTACAACCATCTGTTAACTCCAATTCTAGGGGATCCAACGCCCTCTTCTGGCCTCTGTGGATACTGCATGAACGTTGTGCATAGACATACATTTAGGCAAACACTCAAAGGTATAAAATAAAAATAAAACCTCAAAATTAAAAAAGAAATAATGAATTTGTATGACTCCAACTAACATACTCCAAATATTTTGTAAGAGAGATCTGCAAAACCAGGCATAGCGGCACTCACCTTTAATCCCAGCACTCTGGTGGCAAAGGCAAGCAGCTCTTTATGAGCTCAAGGACAGTTTGGTCTACATAGTGGCTTACAGACCAGCTAGGGCTATATAGTGAAACTTTGTCTTTAAAAAATGGCAACTTAAAAAAGCATAGAGAGTATCCCCCCCCCCCAAATACCCTTGAATATAGCAAACAGAAACACGCTAGCAACATTACAATTCTTTGTGAGCTAGGTACCTAAATACCTCCAGGACTGCCCTGGCATCTTTGAGGAGGCCTACAGAGGTGAGCTTTGAAACCAAAGACTCAGATGCAAGTTCTTGCCACTAATGTTGGTAAAATTTGCCTTTTTCTAGCCTCCCTTACCTCATACATCACTCTCCTATTTCAAAGAACTATTGTAAAAAGCAAATGATATAACGTGAGGCAGTATAAACTGAGCAGAACTACACGACTAAAATACCAGTATTCTTCAAACACTAGGAGATAGTAGAGCATAGATAGTGGCTTATGCCTATCATCCCAACACTTGGGATAGAAGCAACATCAGGAGTTCAAAGTCATCTTCAGCTACACAGTTTAAGGACAGGTGGGGCTACATGAAACTACTATCTCAAAAAATAAATGCTTAACAGAGCTGAACACTTAAAACAGTACCATTAATTCTGTGATGAAATAAAGCAAGTTCTTGTTTTAGTAGGCTACATCCTATAAAATCCTACTTTCTGAGATGGATACGTATTCCTTGATCCCACTACAACTACAAACCACTTTATTTTTTTATCCCTGGTTACCAGCATGAAAGGGTACAAATTACATTGAAATCAAAAGCCCCAGCATGAACCCTGGAGCAGCATGCTGATGGAGTTCACCAGGAGAGAGCCAAGGTTAATCAGCTATGGACTCACTACTAAGGACTACTGCAATCAAAAGGGATTACAAGACACTCATTTAAGAGAAAGACAATGCAGTCACCCGGAGAAAACCACCAAGGAAAAGGCGGCAATATTTCAAAACAATTACATGAAACACTTAAAAACTAAAGTGTTTTTCAAATTGTTTTAAAATACTGTTCCCAAGAAGTAACATAAAACAAAAGCCATCTAAATGCAACCCTTCACAAAAGCAAGTCAGAGAGATTAAAATCAAATCCATGAATAAAATGTCAGATTTACTTGCCTCTATGAGAAATAAAAGCAGACAAATTACACCACAGAGATCAAAAGGAAGTGGTTATTTGTTGAAAATAAAGAGACAGATATGACAACAAAATTTACTGATATGCTTACACAGCAGATACTTATAAAAGTATGGCTTTCCTTCTCGTTGGATTCCATTATTTACTCCTTGAAAGCAATGAATCCTCCCCTCCTACTGTTCTCCTTAAAATACCAATATAACTTATGTTGAGTTTTAATGCAAAAAACATTTGTTAAGAAAAAATAATAGCTTTGGAAGGTGAGTGTGGTGGCTCATGCTGAGATCCAGCACTCTGGAAACTGAGGAAAGGTTGTCAATTACAGGCTTCAGAATTACAAGGTGAGTTCTTGTCAGTAAACGAAAAACGTTTATTTTTGTTTTTTCTTGGTTTAAGGCAGCAGTTCTTAAACTATGAGCTGAGATGCCTTTGGGGGTCAAATGACCTTGTCACAGGGGCCGAATATCAGATATCCTGCATATCAGATATTTATATTACAATGCAGAACAGTAGCAAAATTATATTTATGAAGCAGCAAAGAAATAATGTTATGGTTGGGGGCCACCACAACATGAGGTATTGTTATTAAAGCATTAAGAAAGTTGAGAACCACTGGCTTAGAATGTTTTGATGTCTGAGGTCTTGTTTCCTTTTGTTATAACCTGATTTATTTTCTAGATAATCTTATTATATAACCCAAGCTGGCCTAGAACTCACATTCCTCCTATATCTCAACCTTCTAAGTACTAAGATTAAAGGCATGGGAGCCTTCTAAAAGAAATTATTTTTATTTTTATCTTTATTATTACTATTTTTCTTTGGTTTTTTTTGAGACAGGGTTTCTCTGTGAAGCCCTGGCTTTCCTGGAACTTGCTTTGTAGCCCAGGCTGGCCTTGAACTCAGAGATCTGCCTGCCTCTGTCTCCCAAGCGCTGGGATTAAAGGAATATGCCACCACTACCCAGAATATTTAAACTATTTTAGAAAAAGGCTCTACAGCCAGGCACGGTGACACACCTTTAATCTCAGCAGTCCAAAGGCAGAGGCAGTAGGATCTCTGTGAGTTAGTGGTCAGCCTGGTCTACAAAGCAAGTTCCATGCCAGCCAGAGCTACAGAGAGATCTGTCTAAAAAACAAATCAGAGTAGCTACAATGAAACTATCAAGTTATCACTCCCAAGATCTCCTGGTCTGCAAACTTGAAGGGCCTTCACCTTCACAGTCTCAAAAGAAGTCACTTGTGGGTATTCCCCTAAGGAAAATTTAAACTTTTCATAAATAAAAGTGCACAGAGAACTTATTTTAATATGTATGACTCACAATCTCATTTATACTGGCAATATCTTCAAGCTTGCACTATTCCTACAGGGACTACGGATCTGCTTTTCCCATCTGATCTTTGCAGAATCACTATAGATTTAAATGGATTCACTAAAAGGGCCATTAGGAAAAGAGTTATGAATACAATCCACAGCATAGTCAAATGTGAGATGTGAAATGGGGTAAGGAAATAATAATCAGTATTTTCTCAGTGGCTCCCATAAGTTAGGTACTTCCATTTAAAAATAAAAAAGTAGGCTTTTTCTCGCTCTAATTATTGTTTGGATTTTCCCCTATTCTGTTAGATATATATGATATTTACCTCCCAAAATATCTCTTTCTCTTTCTGTCACACACACACACAAACAAACACACGAGCACCTGTGTGCACGCACAACCTGAAAAATATTTCTGGGGCTGGAGAGATGGCTCAGAAGTTAAGAGCATTGCCTGCTCTTCCAAAGGTCCTGAGTTCAATTCCCAGCAACCACATGGTGGCTCACAACCATCTGTACTGGGGTCTGGTGCCCTCTTCTGGCCTGCAGGCATACACACAGACAGAATATTGTATACAAAATGAATAAATAAATATTAAAAAAATATTTCCGAAAGGAGTATCTTCTAAACTTCACTGCACAAAAAAATTATATGCATTCTTAAGTAACTATGGCAAGCATTCTTGTTAGCACTTCTACTCTCCAAAAAGAACAGTAAACCTAACCACAATGAAGCGTTAACAAAACTTTTAAGAGCTATTACCAACCAAGTAATCTATCACAGCTCCTCAAGTCTCAGGCACATACAATGGCACACCAACAGAAACATAAAAACAGAAAACAAGTCCTCTGGAAACCTCTCGAGTAGATTTTAGAGACAGTGAAAAATGGAAACCAGTTTTAGAGAAATACCATTTCCTATAAACGTTCAGTGTCTTTATGATACTGGCTCATTTTTGTAAAGAGAAACTTTACCTAGCAAGATTCACTCCAGGGATCTCATCTATCCCAAAAAGGCACTTTTCTTTCCTTTCTTTTTTTCTTTTCTTTCTGTCTCTATTTTTTCCAAGACAGGGTCTTAACTATGTAGCCCTGCCTATCCTGGAACTTACTCTGTAGACCAGGTGGCCTCAAACTCAGAGACCTTCCTGCCTCTGCCTCGCAAGTGCTGAAAACTGAAAAGAACAAAGAAAGCCATCTCTCAGCATGCATGTGCTTTTCTCACAAGCTTTTCAGTCTTACTGCATGGCCCACGAATAAAAGACCTGGCTAGCTAATTTTCAAACAGATTCCTAACAAAATTAGTATTAAGAGACAAAGACAGTAAGATCCTGGCAGTGATGGTGCACTCCTTTAATCCCAGCACTAGAGAGTGCAGAGACAGGTGGATCTCTGAGTTCAAGACTGGCCTGGTCTACAGAGCAAGTTCCATAACAGCCAAGTCTATACAGAGAAACCTTGTCTCCAAAAAACAAAACATAATAAAACAACAAAAAATATGACAGTATCACTGTGACTGTTAAAAGAATATAAAACACACATACTTGAGCTCCAGCTTTGTTTGTTTGGGTCTTTTGAGTTTGTGGGTTATTTTCAGGGAGGGGGATAAGGACAGGGTTCCTCTGTGTAGTCCAGGCTGTCCTGGAACCCACTCTGTAGATCTGGCTGGCCTTGAACTCAGAGATCCTTCAGTCTCCGCCTTCCCAGCGCTGGGATTAAAAGCAGTGCCATCATCAGTAAACTTGTTTGTTTGTTTGCTTGCTTGCTTTTTAGCTGCAAGTTGATTATCTCCAAAATTTCAAATTTCTGAGGCTTCCTTGGTGAAGTCAATAGTCTGAAATTGGGATAAACGAAACTAAGTAGGGCATGGTGGTGGATGCCTTTAATCTCAGCACTGGAGAGGCAGAGGCCAGAAGATCTCTGCAAGTTCAAAGCCAGCATGGTCTACACAGTGAGTTCCAGGATAACCTGTGCTACACAGTACACCTGTCTTTTAAAAACAAACAAACAAAAGGAATTCTGAATTCGACATATTCTGTTTCAAACAAGTTAGTAATTAGAAGTAAACTTAAAAAAAAACAAATACCCAAATCTTGTACAAAGATCTTATTTGTTTGTTTGTTTGTTTGTTTGGTTGGTTGGTTGGTTTGTCGAGACACGGTTTCTCTGTGTGGCCCTCCCTGGCTGTCCCCAAATTCACAGAGATCCGCCTGCCTCTGCCTCTCCAGTGATGGGATTAAAACTGTGAACCACCACCGACCGTAGTAAGCAGGTTTTGTTTGTTTGTTTACTTGATTTTTGTACAAAGATCTTAATACAAAAATCTTGGAATGTTTAACACTGCAAAGTTACTAGGGAAAAAGGATATTCTAGTTAGGCTTTTCCACATACAAAAGTGCCCAGAAACAAACGTAGTGGTCTGCTTATTCTAGAAGTTATTTCATGGTAATGGAGAAATAATGATTTTTTATTGATTATAAAAAGAATTCCCAAATCCCTCTGAAGATTTACAATTGCATAGCCCAATCTCCACTCTGCAGAGATGTTAGTTCTCTGCTGGGCTATAACCAGCTGTTTGGTTCGCACACAGGAAGCCAGAAAAGGGAATACCGTGTTCTGAGCCTCTAAATAATATGCGTTAGTTAAGAACTGCTTGCTACTAAACCAAAATTATTCAAGCGGAGCCCCATTTGTCACAATCCAATCATAAGGGTTCCAGCAGCCCTCCCCCAACTGCTTGTGTAGTGCTATATCTGCTTCGGTAAAGAAGCCATCATCAGGTAAAGATTGGGGTGGGAGAAAAACCGGGGGAAAGGGGGCACCCTTTCATCTAATTTCGCGAGGCGTGAGTAATTGGTACAGTTGAGAGGAACGATGGAACATTCTATTTATTGGAGGTTGGAGTAGGATGGGGGGGTGGGAGGACAATTTCGTTTAAATCAACATGGCCAGCAAGATGTCCCTAACAAACAAAAGGCAACGGGGGGATATAAACACAAACCATTCACCTCCATCAGCTATAGCATCGCCATCATGGTGTGTGCAGATACCCCCAAGACTGCTCTCACCGGCCACACCAGAGACAGCAAGAGTAGAGAGGTGGCTGCATTCCCTCCACCGCTCCCAAATGCACACTTTTCCAGGGGGTTATTCCCCCACCCACCCCGGTGGCCCGAAACCAAGAGAAAAACAGTAACGTCCCGCCCAGGCAGACCCAGGTTGTCTCCCTGCAATCTCTTAACCGAACCCCCAACGCCGGCTCCGAGCTCGCTAAACTTTCCAAGAGCTTCTCCCCGGTGTCCCCAGTCGATCGCCCCAAGATCGCGCTTTCCCACTGGCTCGGCACCCACTGACAGGCGGGCAGCGGCGGTGAGCGGGGCGGGGGCGCCTGGGCGCCACGGAGGGGCGGGGCGGCCGGAGCCAAGTTCCCGGGGGTCCGAGCGCAGCGCCTGACAGGAGCCCGGGACCGCGAAAGAGGAAGAGGAAGCGGCGGCGGGGCAGTTTTCCCAATCCCCCCCTTCCAAGCGCACCCTACCCCCCCAGCCCCTGGCTGCCCGTGGGGGGGGGCGGGGAGGCGGGCTGCAAGGTGAGGCACCAGGGCCCCGGGGACCGCCGCTGCCGCCACGTCCCGACTCACTCTCTCTTCGCCCCGCCACCCCCGCCAGAGGCGCCCACAACAATAACACGCCGGGGACGACCCGTCAGCGCCCCCGAGGCACCCGGGGCCCACGGCCCGCCGCAGCCAGGCCCCCTCCACTGAGGCCCGGAGCTCCTCTCCCGCCTGCAACTCCAGGCCCGGGTGGAGCCCGGCCCGGGCGGCCCCCCCAGGGTCCGACCCATCCCCCCCGGCACCAGCGGCGCCGTCTCCGCGGCCGAATATTAGAAGTGAATTCGAGCTGCGCTTTACCTTTAGTTCCGCACTGTCCGCCATCTTGCGTCTGTCAGCGCAAGCGCAGTGAAGCTCGCCGGGGGCCGCGCTGGACCCTCCCCTATAGCTGGTTTGGCTCCGCCCCCTCCCCGCCCCTCAGCCTCCCGACCCGCCCCTAGCCTCCGCCCCGCTCCCGGAGCTCGCCGCCCCGCCCGGAGCACGCACAGCTGCTAGACCCGCACGTACTATTTAAATAATGGCGCCAAGCGGGAGGTTTGACAGTTACTACCACCTCGGTCTCCCCACCCCCACACTGGTCGGGCCGGGAGCGTCCCGGAGAGAAGCCGCAGCTGAGCTTCACTCTTAGGCTGTCCGCTTGAGCCCCAGTTGACAGAAGCCACGACGCCCCGCATCCGCTAGACGTTCGACACCTGCACCGTATGTGGGCCACAACTAGCCAGTTTCGTTGTTTCTGGGTTTATTGACGCAGTCTTTATGATGAAGCAGTGAGGTCATCAAAGGAAACATTCCCACGGTATCTTTTTTTTTTTTTTTTTTCGAGACAAGGTTTCTCTGTAGCTTTGGTGCCTGTCCTGGAACTAGCTCTTGTAGACCAGGCTGGCCTCAAACTCACCAGCCTCTGCCTCCCGAGTGCTGGGATTAAAGGTGTGTGCCACCACCGCCCGGCTCCCCACGGTATCTTTTACGAAATAAAAGCTCAGAGGAGAAAAGGGACTGGCTCATACAGCATTTAACAGAGGTGGCCAAAGACAAAGTCTGCTGACATCCATTTGTCAACTCGCCCTGTAAATTCAGAAGTTAGGCAAGATCACTGTATTTTCCCTCCTGGGAGATGGATCTGTGAACTAATAAAGATATAATTACTAATGGTAATGAATAGCATTGGGATCCAAGGCTCACTATAAGAGAGAAAAATGGTGCCGGGCAGTGGTGGGTCTTTAATCCCAGCAGAGACGGGAGGATCTCTGTAAATTCAAGGCCAATCAAAGAGGGAGTGTCAGGACAGTCTCCAAGGCTACCAAGAAACCCTGTCTCAAAAAAACAGAGCTGGGCAGTGGTGGTGAATGCCTTTAATCCCAACACTTGGGAGACAGAGGCAGGCGGATCTCTGTGAGTTTGAGGCCAGCCTCATCTATAAGTGCTAGTTCTAGGACAGGCACCAAAGCTACACAGAGAAACCCTTTCTCAAAACCTGCCCCCACCAAAACCAAACCAAACCAAACAAAAAACAAAAAATGTGGGAGTGAAAATAACCCAGGACCTGGCCGGGCGGTGGTGGCGCACGCCTTTAATCCCAGCACTCGGGAGGGCAGAGGCAGGCGGATCTCTGTGAGTTCGAGACCAGCCTGGTCTACAAGAGCTAGTTCCAGGACAGGCTCCAAAACCACAGAGAAACCCTGTCTCGAAAAACCAAAAAAACAAAAACACAAAAAAACAAACAAAAAAAAAAACAGGACCTGGCCTTCTTGAATTCTGAGACACTTCAGAGTAATCCAAACATTTAAAGAATTTTTTTAAAAAAATGTTTATTAATTTATTATGTATACAATGTTCTGTCTGTGTGTATGCCTGCAGGCCAGAAGAGGGCACCAGACCTCATTACAGATGGTTGTAAGCCACCATGTGGTTGCCGGGAATTGAACTCAGGACCTTTGGAAGAGCAGGCAATGCTCTTAACCGCTGAGCCATCTCTCCAGCCCCACATTTAAAGAATTTTGATAGTGAAAAGTTGATCATCAGTAATAAAGGCTGGGATTTTTCAGGAAGTAGAAGAGATGTTTAGTAGAGAGGAGTAGGCATGAAATAATCTTTCTTCAAGTCTAAATATCAATGTGGTTGGAAAAGAAACCTTTTGCACACCCCCTAAACCATCTCTCTCTCTCTGGATTTCCCACACACACACACAAGGCAGTGTTCCTTTGTAGTTCTGGAGCCTGTCCAGGAACTAGCTCTTACAGACCAGGCTGGCCTTGAACTCACAGAGACCCAGCTGCCTCTGCCTCCCAAGTGTTGGGATTAAAGGCGTGCACCACCACCGCCCAGCTAAACTTCCTTTGGATCCAAAATCACCTTTGGTGGTTACTCTATTTCTCTGCTTTCTTCACTAAATAAATTCATGAACATGATTTCATTTTTCTACAGTACTTGTTCCCACTTCCTCAGTGGCATTGGCCTGTCAATTGGCCTAGATTGCCTGCCAACTCCTTGATCACTTATCAAGATGACTTTATTTACACCTTTGCGAAGCCCACTCCCAGTTCTCAAGTCTTATCTATGTTGGCTAAAGGGAACTGCTAACAGTGGATGGACTTGCTTTCTCTTGAAACATATTTCTCCTGAACTTTCCTCCAGATCACTGTCGCTGTCCTGACATTCCATTCCTATCCTCTTCCCTGGGCAGTTTCTCTCCTCTCCTCTCCTCTCCTCTCCTCTCCTCTCCTCTCCTCTCCTCTCCTCTCTCCGGACTCCCATCCCCTTTTTTTCCAGGGTCTGTCTCCCTAAGCAGCCCTGGAATTCTCTATATGGCAGACTGGCCTTAAACTCCCAGAGATCCACCTACCTCTGCCTCCCAGAGGAGTTAAAGGCATGCACCACTGTGGCCAGTTTTGGCTTCATCTTTAAATAGTGGAGAACCTAGGACTCAGTCCATGATCTTTATTCAACCACCCAGAGCTATTGTTCAACTCTGACTTTTGATCTATAATATAATGATTTTCAAATATCTGCAGTTTAGACTTCACCAAATCCTAATCCAGGCAGGCCTAGGGATTTGACTCTGTTTGTAAGTTGTTTGCGTAACTGCCTAATACACAAGAAGCCATGTGTTTGATCTCTAACACTACATAAAACTGGGCATGGTGTTGCATGCCTGAAATCCCAGATCAGGG